GGCAATCCACTCACCTCGGCCTCCCAAAGCACGGGATTACAGGCTGAGCCACTGAGCCCAACCAGCCTTCCTAATTTCAAATGCAATCCCCGTCCCCCCCATCTCTTCATTCTCTATCCCCCTCTTCAGCTTTATTTTTCTCTCACAGCAGTTTCCACCATCTGACATGCTAAATATTCTACTAAGTCCACAAGGGCAAGGATATTTTGTCTTTGTTCACTGCTCTCTCCTCAGTTCCTAGAATAGCCACCTGCTAGATGCTCAGTGAATATTGGTCTAATTAAACAATCATTAACTCCTTGGGTTTCTGGACTATCTACAGCAAAAAAAGATTAGCGTGAGAGTGGTGACTTGATTACAGGCAGGCACATGACCAGGGTCCTCTGGACTGGTTCACATATTCACATTTTCTGCCTTTTTTAAAATTGGGAGGACAAAACAACGAATTTTTGCCATTTCTGTATCTTATAGACTGAATTGTGTCTTTGTACCATTCTCTCAATTAATATGTGAAGGCCTTGGTACCTCAGAATATGACTGTATTTAGAGACAGAGCTTGTAAAGAGGTGATTGAGTTAAAATAAAGCCATTAGCATTAAACTAAAATGAGGCAATGCAATCCAACTGGTGTCCTTATAAGAGGAAATATGGACACAGAGACACCGGGGGTGTGTATACACAGAAGAAAGGCCATGTCAGAACATAGCAAAAAAAAGCAGCCATCTACAAATGTCTTAGTTTGTTTTGTGCTACCATAAGAGTATTGGAGACTGGGTAATTTATAAAGAAGAAGAATGTATTTCTCACAGCTCTGGAGGCTTGGAAGTCTAATATCAAGGTGCTGGCATCTGACCAGGGTCTTCTTGCTGTGTCCTCCACAGCAAGAGGACAAGAGAAGAGAGGAAGAGAGGAAAGGCAAGAGAGGGCAAAAGTAAGAGACAAAAGGGGGCCAAACTCATCTTTTTATAAGAAACTTGGCCAGGCTCGGTGGTTCAGACTGTAATCCCAACACTTTGGCAAGTGAATTGCCTGAGCCCATGGGTTCGAGACCCACCTGGGCAACTTGGGGTGATCTCATCTCTACAATAAATCGAAAATTAGCCGGGCATGGTAGTGCATGCCTGTAGTTCAGGCTGCTTGGAAGGTTGAGGCAGAAGGATCACCTGAGCCCAGCAGGCCAAGGCTGCGGTGGCCGGGAGCATGCTACTGCACTCTAGTCTGGGTGAGAGTGTGAGACTCCAACTCAAAAAAAAAAGAAAAAAGAAACTCACTCCCTCTGTAATGGATTAATCCATTTATGAGGGCAGAGTCTTCAGGGTCTGATGTCCTCTTAAAGGTCCCCACCTCTTAATAATGTTACAATGATGATTAAGTTTCAATATAAGTTTGGTAGGGACAAAATTCAAAGAACAGAAGCAAGCCAACGAGAGTAGGCTCAGGAGACACCAGTCATACAGATACATTGATCTCGAACTTCCAGCCTTCAGAACTGTGAGAAAATAAAATGTTGTTGCTTTAAGCCACCTAGTCTGTGATATTTTGTTATGGCACCCGGAGCTAACTAAGATACTCTATATGCGCAGTAGCTTGATCAAATGAAAATTTACCTCTTATTTTTCACGGAAATCATCCTCACAGTGAAGCAGAGGGTTGTAGTCACCAACGCCCTCACAGTAATACCTAGAGGAATCAGTGCTTCCCACAAGGGGATAGGATAGCTGGGTCAGGATAGATTCTCTCTGGAGGGGAAGGCAATGATGTAACAGCGGTAATCGTTGCAACAGCATCTTGCTATAGATGCATACTCCACTGGTTGTTCACAGTCCCTTTGTCAGTGGCAGCAGAAAAGGACCACAGGATTTCTCAGCATTAGAAAGACATAGATCCTCCTTCAGAAAATCACATCAACAGATAAATTGAAGGTGAGGTTGCACAACAGTGTGAATGTACTTGATGCTACTGATCTCCACGCTCAAAAATGATTAACGTGAAATTTTTTTTAAAGACCATTTGAGTTATTGTTACTAAAAAATTAAAAGCACCAGGCAAGGTGGCTCATGCCTGTAATCCCAGCACTTTGGAAGGCAGAATTGAAAGGATCGTCTGAGTCCAGGGGTTCGAGACCAGCCTGGGCAGCTTGGTGAGACCTCGTCTCTACAATAAATCAAAATAATTAACTGGGCTGGGTAGTGCATGCCTGTAGTTCTAGTTACCTGAAAGGTTGAGGCAGAAGGTTCACCTGAGCCCAAGTCGAGGCTGCGGTGGCCATGATTGTGCCACTGTACTCCAAGCTAGGTGACAGAGTGAGACTCCAATACAAAAAAAAAAAATTAAAAGCAAAACATGAAATGTTATATCCATAAAACCATGTGAAGCGTGTCATAATCAGGCCAGACATAGTGGCTCACACTTGTAATCCCAGCATTCTGGGAGGCTGAGGGGAGAGGATTGCTTGAGCCCAGGAGTTCGAGACCAGCCTGGGCAACAGAGTGACACCTCATCTCCACAAAAACCAAAAAAATTAGCCAGGCATGGTGGCCCATGCCTGTAGTCCCAGCTGCTTGGGAGGCTGAGATGGAAGGATCACCTGAACCCAGGAGGTCAAGGCTGCAGTGAGCGGTGATTTTTGTGATCACGCCACTGTACTCCAGCCTGAGCAACAGAGCGAAACCCCAGCAAAAAAGAGTGGCATAATCAACATGTGGTACAAAAGGACCAAAGGGGGAAAGGAAAGTGGGGGCCAAACCGAGGATCCTTGCTGGAAGCGGGAAATGCAAATTGATCTTATAGCATGAGAGATTTCAGAGAAAAGTTGAGAGGGAATTCAACACAATCCACAAGGAGGAGAAAGGCCATAGTCTGGTCATACTCCTAAGTCTGGTTCTCATACCTGGTAATTGTCCTAATTCCCCAGAAGTAACTTTATATTAGCATTTTCCATAGCGTGTTTCTCAGGACAGTCAAAACACACTCCAGAATGAAAAAAAATTTTTTTTTAAATGAAATTGAAACTATTGTGGTTAAACAGGTTTCTTTATTGCAGAACTTCTCAGAAGTCAAATTACATTTGGAAATCTCCCCCAGATGATGAAGTCATAGATCTTTTTATCCCAAAAGAATCTCAAAGAACAGGTATTTTGAGGCTGGGCACGGTGGCTCACACCTGTAATCCCAGCACTTTTGGAGGCGAGGCAAGATGATTGCCTGAGCCCAGGGATTCGAGACCAGCCTGGGCAACTTGATGAGACCTTATCTCTACAATAAGTCAAAAAATAAGCTGGGCATGGTGGTGCATGCCTATAGTCCCAGTTATTCAGGAGGCTGAGGCGGAAGGATCACCTGAGCCCAACAGGTTGAGGTTGCAGTGACCATGACTGTGTCACTGCATCCCAGCCTGGGTGACAGAGCGAGACTCTGACTCAAAAAAATAAAAATAAAAGAACTGGTATTTTGGGAAGTATCACTTTAAACCTTCTGGATATTGCTACTGGGTAGGAAAGGGTAGCCAACCCATGGTGAGCAACCACACTGGAAAGTACCAAGTGAAAACAGCTGTCAGACCCTGAAGCTGTGCCTTCAGACACCAGGATATTTGCCAACGAGAAGATGGGGCAGGAGATGGTGATACAAACAGTTAATAGCATTAGGGTATGGCTGACTGAAAAAGAAGGAACCGGTATGACTGTTTATGTGTGTCCCTGTGCTAAAAGCTTTACCTCCCAACAATCCTTCCAAAGCAGACTATAAAATCACTTTCACTTTATAGATTAAAAAAAGCTGAAGCAAAGAGAGTCTAAGTAATTTGCTCAAGGACACACAGATAGTGACTCACAGAACCAGGACCATATCCAGTTAAGGAGGTGATTCTACTAGCCTTCAAGAATCACAGCCTGGAGAAGAATAAACTCCAGGAAGCAGCTGGGGGACTGTTCTACCTTCTCGGGAAGAACTAGTAAGCATCAGGGCTGAGGCGAAAGCCCAGAAGCAGACAGTTCCACTGAAACTGGGAAGAACCTGTCAAAGTAGAGACAGTTGTTGACACAGAGCACAAGAGAAGTACTTGGAGGTGGAGCACAACAGTTTAGAGACTTGTGAGCTCTGTGGGGGGACAGAGAAGATTCACACAGGGCAATTACCAGCTATTGTTTTCCCGCTGGCAGGAACATCCACAACAGCTGAACACACTACCATTTCCTGTGTCCTGGCAGAGGCAGCATAAGATTCTTCTGAAAATTTACCCTCAAAATAGTTGATCCTACAAGGATTTGTTGTTGCTGTTTTACTTACCACAGTAGGTGTATGAAATACTTGTATCGGAGGAGTTGCAGACCCAGTGTTGCTCCCCAGGTTCAGTATATATAGAAGAAAACAGGGTAGAGAAAAGCATAAATAGAAACATGATTCACTATCTTCTAAACTTTAAAAATGCAAGGAGGATCAGTAACTAATCATCAGGCTCTCCTTTTCAATCCGTAGAAAAGATTTAACTTAGTCATAAGTCACGTGATTTCTGAGTTCCTATTCAACTATTTCCTCTTTTTAAGTGTGTGTGTTTATTATTGAGCACTTCCTGCAAAGGGAGAGAGGAAAATGATTTTGAATGTACTCTTTTCAGACATCTGATGTAAATGAGAGTGCTGAAAACAAAACAAGACACTCCACAGTCATTAGTAGGTCTTCCTTAAAGCCCCGACAGACTGGTATTCCTTATCCCTCCACATTTTGCTAACTGGAATCTCACTCCGTTGCCCAGGCCAAAGTGCAGTGGCACGATCACAGTTCACCACAGCCTCAAACTCCTGTCTTCCAGTTTTGTTTTTGTTGTTGTTGTTGTTGTTTGTTTTTTGGAGTTTTTTGTTTGTTTGTTTGTTTGTTTGTTTTTAGCTCACTCTGTTGCTCAGGCTGGAGTGCAGCGGCACACTCAACCTGCTGGACTCAGGCGATTCTTCCACCTCAGTCTTCCAAGTAGCTGGAACTACAGGCACGTGCTACCTCACCCAGCTAATTTTTTGATTTATTGTAGAGACAAGGTCTCGCCATGTTGCTCAGGTTGGTCTCGAACCCCTGGGCTCAGGCAATCCTCTCGCCTTGGTCTTGCAAAATGCTGGGATTACAGGCTTGAGTCACTGCATCCAGCCTCACAGTTCTCTATACAACAATTTATCATGGCCTAGAGAGCTGGACCTATAGATCTGAACTGAACAGTCTCATGCAAACTATTTCTGCTCAGCAACAGCAACAGGCTTAGCCACAGGACAGAATGGGGCTAGATGAGACCCCAAAAAGGGGACACCTGTTGTAGTTCTGTGCTGTGGGCAGGACCCCACCAGTCTTGAGAATGCTTTCTTTCACCTACACCAAAATAGAGCTCAAGAGCAAATTTTGAGACCTAATAACATGATTGTGGCATGTATTTCATTTCAAAACGCTCCCTCCATTTTAGAAAACAGCTATTTCTTTAGATGCTTTAATACTTAAATTCCCTAACAGGATATAGTTTAGGTTTGGTAGCCAAAACTGGCATGGCGTTGTGGTTTAAAAATCTGCACGCCTGTAATCCCAGCATTTTGGGAGGCCGAGGCGAGTGGATTGCCTGAGCCCACGGGTTCGAG